ATTTGGGGCCTGAGTCCACCTACTGGATCCAGCCCCAGGACTGGAGATACTTTCCAGAACACAACTTCACCTGAGACATGTCCAGTCACACTGTTTTACTTGCACAATTTCAGCTTCCTCAGAAGAAAATTAAAATTGCTCAGTCTTTTTCATAAACGTTTTGCCATGTCCTTTTTCTGTTTCCTTGCCTGTTCATGTATGTCAGACCAGGTACCAGTTATATGTAATGAGATCAGAATTCTGCCTCCAGTAACACATCTGAGGTGACACTTGATTGTAGTTTTGGTTTAGTCTCCAAAATGTAGATTATAAAATTCATGAACCTCATTTTTATGTCAAAAGAAATCTGCATAATCTGAATGTCAACACTTTTTGGAATCTCTTAAATAACGGAAGTAGCAAGAAATCTTACCCACTCCAAAAACTGGATAGACGGACATGCCTAAAATAGCAGTTGACACTTGCTTAACTGGAACAGAGGTTGCAGAAGCCACAAGATATAGAGGGCACTACATGACAAGCACTATAGACATCTGAAAGACAGATGTGGACTCGGTAAATGCAACAGTTCCAGAGGGTTTTTCACTTCTAAAGTTTCTCTACTTTCTCTAGAAACCTCAGGATTCTAAAAAATGAAATCCACATGCATTTCCTATGGATCAGAATTGCAGATGATTAATTACTGAGAAACATACCAGGAGCCTGCTTCAGGAGCTTCTACAGGGAAAGACTTTTCCAGAACCTTATCTTATGTGAACGAAGACAAATCTTCCCTTCCAGATTTTTCTTCCATCCTTCCATTATTATACAAATGAGCAAAGTTAGCTAGTAGGGGTAAGAAGTAAGTAAATAGTCCAGGGATGCTGAAACCACAAAAGGGATTAACTGCCAAAAATGAGCTTTTCCCCCGGTGACGCCTGGTTGAGGTCACAGCCCAGAAGGGGATGCCGATCGCGTCTCTAGGTTTCCATGGTCAGAACAGGCAGTGCTTACCCGCACTGCACAATCTATTCTAACCAGGATGATGGCTCTGGATTAAAGATGCAAGTGTGGCAATGCACAGACTCTATCTGAGGAGAATGTAGGGAAACTAATGGAAAATGACAGAGAGTGAGACAAGACAGTAGAAGAATCCGAAGCCTCTGATATCACCATTTTTAAGACCAAGGTCTTGAAAACTCCCTGACTGATCTCAGCTTCTGTTATCATGAAGCCTTTGCTGGATTCCAAGCTGAGAAAATGAAAAGAACAACCTTCATGCACTTCCCAAGTCTCCCCTTGTATCCTGTTTGCTTTAGACCTCTAGGGGAAAAAGTCAGATACATGGGCCTAGTGTCAGTGTAGATGGCATTTCGTATAAGCTACAAAATAGGAATAAGGGAAAATGTGTGTTATTGGAATCGTGGATATGGAGTGGGGTGTCATCTGAATGTATCTGGACCTGCTGGTATTCTCAGGTGCAACATTCAACTGCAGGAGCCCATTGAAGAAACACGTCACTCCCCAAACTCCTGTAAGTTTCTGTATTCATTTTGGATCCACTAATGAAGTGAATCCAGAGATTCAGAGAAGGAGCTTCCTCCTTCATCATATAATCCTTGCTTTGCTTCCCCCTGCAGAGTTCAACAGGTTTAGTAAGGCTAATCAATTGTTTCAAGAAATGGTGTCAGCAGCATATGGTGTCAC